CGTCTTGGGTGAGACAACTTTTGGATTCTATAGAGTATAATGCTAGAAGACACCAAAACCTATTATTCGCATGTGTTTCTTGGATTTAAAAAAAACTAGAGAATGAGGCCACAACCGACATACATAGACAAACATGTGTCACGTCTTGGGTCAGACAACTTTTGGATTTCGTACAGTATAGTACTACAAGACAGCAAAATCTAACATTTGCATGTGCTTCTCGCGATTAAAAAAAAAAACTGGAGGGTAAAGCCGCAACCGACATACACAGACAAACATATGTCGAGTCTTGAGTCAGACCAATTTTTGATTCTCTAGAGTATAATGCTACAAGACATCCAAATCTAGCATTCGCAAGTGTTTCTCGCGATTTTAAAAAACTGGAGGATGAGTCCACAACCGACATACATAGACACACAAGTGTCAAGTCTTGGGTCAGACCACTTTTGGATGCTTCAAGACATCAAAAATCTAGTATTCGCATGTTTTTTTTCGCGATTTAAAAAAGAAGCTGGATGGCGATGGCGCAAACGACATTCATAGAGAAATACGTGCCACGTCTTTGGATCTGACAACATTTTCTGAAAGTGCGTGTATGCCTGTGAAATCAATCGTACCGGATGCGTGGTGCGTGACGCCTGCTCGTCGTCGGTGACGGCGCTGCTAGCGTCCACGAACCGGTCAAAGCTGCTCTCGCTCAACTTGAGCGGGCAGTCCGCGCCGTCCTCGCCGGGCTCGGCCCCCTGCGACCGCGTCAGCGTCTTCACCGCCGCCGCGGCAGCCGTCGCCGCCTCCAGCGGCGCCATTCCTCCCGGTCTGTCGGACCCCCTGGTCCTCCCGGTCTTCTTCACAACCTTCGAAACCCCCGCGTCGCATTCGATCACGTTCGACCGGTAGATCAGCCGCTGGCCCGGCTTGGGGTACGGGGAATCTACTATCACTGGGGACGGAGGAGGACGAGGAGGGGGAGGGGGCGGGGCTATCGGCGGCGGTGCGTCTACCTCCTCCTCCTCCGCCGCCGCCACCGCCGGGCTGTAGTAGGAACTCAACGGTTTCTTCTTCGTCTTCGCAGGCGGTTTCTTGCTCTTGGATTTGGATTTCTTCGCGGTTTTGCGGTTGTGGGCGGCCAGGGCGGGGAGAAGGCTGAGCGGTGGCTGCTGGCGGAACTTCGACGCGTCCGCCACGCCCAGCCGTCGCAGGCTCTCTATGCTGTCGCGTTTGGTCGCGGGTTTCGCCTTGCGGCGAGCGCCCTTCCCGCGGACCGCGTAGCGCATGTTCCAAGCCGGCGGGATGTGCCTGGAAGCGGGAAAAGGTACGCTGTGAACGGTGCGGGATGGGCGTCAACACGTTGCGTTCCGTGCGGTACAATGATGAGTGCTACCTAGACCTGGCCTCTGGCCACCCTAGGCCTAGGCCTTCCACTGGCTCATATTCAGGAGCCCATCTACACTATTACAGCTTTTTGCTTCTGTCGCAAAATCGGAAGAATATTATCGCAAAAAATATTGTAATTTCGCATCCTCTTCTTA